AATATAAAACTCTTAATTTTGCAGGTGTGCTTAGAAATACATATACTTTAAAATGATGGTAAAAATGTTATAGGTTTATAATTCAAAATTTCAAAAAATTATTTAAAATACAAATTTTAAGAATAATTCATAAAAAAAGAGGAAATTTTATTCAGAATGAACCTAAATTTCGAAATGTGAAAGGAAAAATCAAATAACTTAGAATGCATTTATTCTAACCTCTTTGGTCTCAATGCCACCACCATCTACAGCCATCAGTTATAACTGTTATCTTGTAACTTCTCTCACTTCCTAAATCATTGCATAAACATATTACCAAAAGAATTAACAAATTACTATTTTTTTAAACTGCCCCAAAGCTAAAGTGAGTACACGTCCCAATTTTGGCAGGACAGTCCCGCTTTTTGGAGGACTGTCCCGCATCCCACCGATTTTTAAAAATGTCCCGCTTTTTAGAAAACATCTGCATTTCTTACTTTAAATGTACTATTAAAATATATTACCTATTATTTATTAATTATTATATGAAATAAAAAAATACATAAATAAAAAACATATAAAATGCATACAGAGTAAATTAAATTGGGCGATGTAACGAGTTAGATTCACTCGGTGGTGTTCGATCATTAACATTACGTCTCGTCAAGGAATATGTATGGTTAATGGAGGAACAGCTAGCATTAGCTGAAGCATTTGCTTTCCACACCATAAACCACAATCAAAGTTTCAGATCAATTGATTGTATGTCTGAAATGATCAAATAACTTTGTCCGAAATATTTTTTTTTTTTTTTAATTATTGGTCTGCTTTCATAATTAAATTGCAATTCTCATTTTATTCCATTTGTCCCACTTTGTCTCAATGAAAATGTGGTCACTTTACCCAAAGCATTATTTTATATATAAAAATGCTAAGAACTTAATTACATATGCTTATTTCTTTCGCATATTAAATTTTCATGAATATAATTATCTGAAATACAAAGTGTAGACATGCAAAAGCTGTTGGTTAATAGTATGGACATAAAAATTCTTCTTGCTTGAGTGTTTTAAGTAATTGTTGATCTTAAGTGAATTAATTTCTATGGACATTTTTGAGAGGTTGTTCTTTATTTGAAATTTGGACTATATAATTTCTATAGCTATATAAGTTTCCTAGAATTCATCAAATATTTCAGAATGTGTCAAATTCTAGAAACCACATGTATAATAATTCTTTAGTTTTAGCCAGTTATATCATCATTTTGGTGTGTTCATTTTGTTGTACTTGAAATTCCAGTGGGTTTTAGTGACAAATGTTGATATATTTGGTTTTAAAATTCAATTTTAAGATATAAATCAGCAATGGAAGAAATGGAGGTAACATTTCTGCGAGAATAATAGTGTTTTTGCTATAAAATCTTTAAAGGAAACCATTGCTTTGAATCGATTCTTAAATCCATCACTGTGTAGTTTCCACCAGAAGAAAAGGAACAAAAACCTGCTTGTAAATAGGTACATTGAGTGATTTTTTGGGGTTAATACAAGGGTTGTTTTTTAAGTAAGGCCCATTTGAAAATAAAAACCAAATAAAAGAAAATTTTCAAAAAACAAATTTATTTTCAAATTCTACGTACTCAACACAGTTGCTAAATTTGTTTAAACTTTTATCATACCTTAGAACTAGATTTTAAATACCCTCTTCATAGAAACTTGCCATTTGAAAGAGTGCTTATGGTGAAGCGTCTGTTCTCAAGAATTTTCGCTTCAACTGAAGCCACCATATCGTCTGTGATCACAGATGGGTGACTGGAGCGGGACTCATCAGGAACGTTGTAGCAGCCAGCTTTAACCCGCGAGCACACGCACCGATCCGACGAACACGAGAACACGTGCCGGGTCTGTCATACCTGAATAAAAAGTTTTAAAAAAAAATTACAAATTTGGCGAATAAAATTAATCGGTTTTTAAAAGAAATTAAAATGCAAAACCAAGTTAATACTTCATTTTAGACAATATATGAAAGAATAAGGAGAGGTAAAATTATTTACTTACAATTTTTGAACATTGTTTACAAAATGAGGTCATATGTTCCATATATACTTTTGCTACAATTTCACAAATGAATCTAGTCTTTCTATTTTTTTTCTTGGGGCACTCTGTACACCTCTTGTAAGTAATTTTAGGGTTTTTTGGGGGGGTGGTTCATTGTTAACATGTTCATCGGTGGTCAGTGTTTGTCTAGAATCAGGAACTACAGATGCTCGTCGGCATTCATTTTGAACATTTTCTATTAGTTGCATCCCTTAGGCTTTGAGAAAAGTATGCCTGGTACGGTATTCCATTGACAGTTCCTTCTTTGATAGTAGAATTATTCTTGCATTAATGGCAGCCACGTTTAACACTGAAAAGAAAAAATTACCATAGGCCATCGATGTGCTACTCTTGCTGTAGAATACACAGCTGCCATCTCATCTACAACATCGACCACTCCTTTTGTCATGTTATAGAATGTAATGATTTCGGGCTTTTTAGATTCCCCAGTAGATTCATCGATTTGATCGCCGGAGTGCATTGTGGATAACAGGATCACAATGTTGTTTTTTCAGGCACATAAGATACAAGTGTTGCTTCTTTATGAAAACCGAAAATTGAATGAATAACTCTCTTTTTTTGCCAGAAAACTCAGGTGGGATTTCTCTCTTATTTTTACACATTAGTACTAACTATTGTAATAATTTTCTTCTTTAGGAGATCTTGAGATAATTCATATCCCATATACCAATTATCAACTATTAAATTTCGACCAGAACTGTATAAGAACCCTATTAAACATTTGACAACTTTGCTTACACCATTTTCAACTTGAAATGGCCCATCTGGTTGTTTACCAGCATAAATTTCCATATTGCAGGTATAAAATACCCTTGCGTCTACAAGAGCAAATATTTTTATGCCATACTTTTGCTGGCTTGTTGGGCATTATATTGTTTGAAGGAACAACGACCTCTGACTGAATGATTCCAACTTCTCATCAATGGTCACATATTCTCCTACAATATAAGCCTTTTGGCAATTTGTGACAAAATTTCCAACAAATTCTCTTATCGCAGCTAATTTATTAGTCTTCTTCTACTGAGACGATCTCTAATGTCATCAAAATGGAGGCATCGTAAAAGAAAGAGGGAATCGGTTCACTGACATTGTTTCCCGAAATATGTCCATTCCCGTTCCACCTGTTGCCCACAAATCTCTTACGTTCACATGGGATGATTTATAAATCCACATAAATACAGCAATCCAATTAAAGCTTTGATTTCCAACTCATTGTTGCTTTCGCATCCGTTCAGAGTGAAAATTCCACGTACTGAATCAATATAAATATTTATATTGTCGACTACATGTTTTAACATATCTTCATCGATAAGCAGTGACCAGGAATCTAAATGTGTTGAGACGTCTTTAGAATACTTCGTATTCCCAGGGAGTTTAGTTATAATATTTTTGGCGCCAATTCTAACATTAGTCCGGAATTTATTTTTGTTCCATTTTACTCCATTTTTACGAACATAAAACTCATTGCTACATTCCAAAGTTTCATTTTCTGTTTCTGTATCTGAATCACTAGATGAATCATGATCTCTATGGATAGATCTCTACGGATGAATCATGATTACTATTATATTCTTCGTCATCAACATCTTCACTAAATGAATCCCCATCAGAAGAAACTGTTTCAAGAAGATTTCTCAATCTTTTCATCTCTTCATCGTAAGGAATATACGGCGCCATACTTACAACTCAAAAAAAGCCTATACTAAAAGCTTGAAAACGAGAACTGCGAAGTGACTCACTGAGAAACGTGAGTACACGCGAGAGTATGACATGCCCGAACAATGCTGTTCCTAAAAAACCGCTGCACCTGTCACCTCAAGAATTTCCCCCATTTACGTATGTGACCTTGAACTGAGCTACACCAAGTTTCGTCTTTTTATGAAAGAATGGGTGAGAAATATACAAAAAAGAAAAATGCACATGGGTATGACATACCCGTTGCGTGTGCTCGCAGGTTAAAGTCACCAGTCAAATCCTCCAGTGAATGTCTGCAGTAGACAGGTTCAGTCAGTGCTGACAAAAAATGTGTGAGGTTCAATCAGTACTGACAAAAAATGTGTGAGGCTCAGTCAGTACCGACAAAAAAACGTGCCAATGACCAAACCTTGCACTGGGCGATTTGATAATCTTGAACATTTTAAAGACACAGAACAGACCCTACTGGTTACCTACACAGATGCAGTTGAGCACAGTTGTTTCCAAGGAATGCTGGAACACAACACAAGCACTCGTTGCCACCCATGCAAGACGTATTAATGCGTATAGCAAAATGACCCTTACTTAAAAAGCTTGCTATGTACCTAATTAAAATTTAACATGCATTCATTGCAAACATTTTTTTTTAAGTCATTCTTTTTCTACTGTAAAAAATCACCATTATGTACCAAAGTGATACGTAATTATTGCTTTTAAATATACCTATTTAATTTCATATCACTAGCATTACTGCAGAGATTATGAAATGTTTAAGACATAAATATCTGCTTAGATTTATTTCTGTGTCAGTCTTGCCAGTTTTTAACAAAGAAAGCTATCTATTTATATTTTTATACGTAAGCAATAATATTTCATATTTTTATACATAAGTACATTCTGACATTTCATTTTATACATAAGTACATTAATGAAGAAAAATTTAAAGTTGGAGCAAACATGTTACTTGAAAATTAACTCTAAAATGAATAAATAATTTGTTTAGTTATGGAGTATGTTACAATAAATATTATAGCATTATAAAAATGAATAATATTAATTTCATTACTTTTATATTTTTATTCATTTTCATCAAATATTATGAACTGATATTTTAATATTAATTTTCAAATATGCAAGACATTTATAGCATTCAAATGTTAAATAAGCTATTTATCAATTACAAATTCTATCATTTTAAACTTTTCTTTCTAGGCAAATGGCACCTGGGAAATGACTGTCATATAAGAGGTGATGGTTGCCACCATCCGTTAAATCATGGATTTGATTATTTTTATGGACTGCCATTATCAAATTTCAAAGATTTTGGAGATGATGGTCAAAGTGTTGTAACTACTTATGTACCAGATTTTTATTCATATAGCTTAGCACTTATTATTTGTGCAATTACAGTAATTTATTTTATTTATTCAAAGCACAAATTTGTATCTATTTTCATATTAATACTTTTTGTAATTCTACCAATTATTTTGAGTTTGTTCATCTTAAACCTGAAGACAGTCAATGGAATTTTAATGGAAAACAAAGAGGTTATTGAACAGCCAATAACACTTAAAGGTCTTACTCAACGATTTGTGAAAAAGGCTAAAGATTTTTTATCTGTTCAAACTGCAGAGAAAAAGCCATTCCTACTTTACATGCCATTTGTGCATGTTCATACAGCATTATTTTGTTCAGATGAGTTTTCTGGGAAAAGTAAATATGGACGCTATGGTGATAATATTGCAGAAATGGACTGGGCTGTTGGTGAGATAGTGAAGAGTTTACAAACTTTAGAGCTTATAAATAACACTTTTATATATTTTTCATCAGATAATGGTGGACACATTGAAGAAGTAGGAAAAAATGGACAAAGAGAAGGAGGACATAATGGCATATTTAAAGGTAAATATAACTGTCATTCCTTTCGAGACTGTAGGATTAAAAAATATCTCGTGTTACTGGAACCATAATCCATCTGAAATATTAAAAAATTTAGGTAATATTTTTTTTTTAATACAGATATTTCTTCTTTGGAAAGGGGCAGTCAAATGTACATTTGTTATATTGAAGATTTTTTTTTTTTTTTTTTTGGGGTTATTATATTTTATTCTAGCAAAGTTTACATTTTTATTAATTTTTTTTAATAAGGTTGAATATTTTTCTTGTTTTCCTAAACGTGCTTCCTATTAATATTTCAACTAAAATAGGTAAATAATGAAAATAAGTTCATGTTTTAAAACTAAGCAAATAAATTTGTAGTTATTTTTAATACATAAAAACTAACCAAAAGAATTGTATTTCAGTTATCAAAAACAAAATGTATATTACATTTAAACTAAAACACAGCTTGTTAAAATATATGCTGTATTATCTCTTTTATAGCATTGAAATCAATGAAAAAATTTAAAACGTATAAACAAACTAAATTTTATTTGGTCTCGAAAGAAGAACAAGCTATCTTGATAACTAGAATTCTACTTTATATTATTTAGTTAAAGTGGGAGGGAAAAAAAGTAAAGAACTCATTCGAGCAGAAAATTTTATTCGAAAGCTTAGTAAATGTGATTTTATTTATTTTCTGCAACTTTGATAGAAAATATGCATGTATATATATTTAAAAATATAATTTTTATTAATCTCTTTGAATGCATAATTGGTTTCAGTAAGTCTAATTGTCTGTATTTATTTTTTCTTGTATCTTCATGACTTAATTGCAAAGAATAGAATAAACAAGAAAATGAGCTGTTAATCATGTGAATATGAAAGGTTATAGAAATTTTCTGTCAAATTGAGTAAGATTTTTGTATTTTTCTGTTAATGGCGTTCCTCTAGGTGCTAAACATAAATCTTAGTGAGAAATCTAACTAGATAATGGCAATGTAATGAAAAGTGGATTTACTTCAACAGCACAGACCTAAAACTGGGTTGGCTTGCACCTGGCGAGTCTATCGGCAGTGTCGCTAAGCACATCTTGCTTTATATCTGGTGAGATTGGCGTGGTTTTATGTACAAAGAGTATCTAGAAAAAGGATAAAACCCTCCACAGTAAGGTGCACTGCTAGATGCTAGTTCATATTGACACTGCTATCAAGAAAAAATGTTAAACTGAGTTCCGGCACAAAAAAACAGTGTTCCATCAAGATAATGCAAGACCACATGTGTCTGCATTCACTGGCTGGACTCTGTACGGAATCTTTTGCCACACCCCACCATATAGCCCCAACATCGTTCCTTCGGACTGGTAACTTTTTTTCACACCTGCAGCTACATCTTGCTGGTGCTATCTTCCATTCTGCACAGGACGCCTGAAATGAGGTTGTTCTGTTTTTGAACTTGTGGCCACCAAGTTTCTGGGCCAAAGGCTTTGAAAAACTACTAAAACATTAACAGAAAACCATAGATTTGAGTGCTATTACTACCCGCACTAAAGGCTCTGCTTTGTTCATACCTTTTTCCTGACCTTATTAAAAACATTTTTTTGTCAGAAAACTTTCCTTACAAACAGGCAATACAGCTGTGCATACTGCATTGTTAATATGCCACCACAATTGGCACCTGATGCTCGATTAGCAGAAAAAGACCAAGATTTTTTTTTTTATTTTATTTTTTTTATCTGGTACTTGGAATTGCAAAAAAAAAAAATTACAGTCTCCCTCCTACAAACACTTTGTTGTCATCTAAAATTGAACAAAAACTAAGGAGGTTGCTGTTTGTAGGTAAGTCCTTTCCCAACTCCAAACATTGAATTTCTTTAAAAAAAGTGAAATCGCTGTATTATTCAGTCAATACAGAAATTTGCAGCTTGAATTTCATTACTAGATAAAAAAGGCATATTTCTTTCTAGATATGCTACTTCAGAATTCGATATGAATCTTAATATCCAAGCAAATATGCGTTGTAACTTTGGAAATGAAGATATATTTGATATAATAGCATGTTCCTGTACAGGTTCAGAAACTACAAATGAGATTGTTTTACGTGCATCTGGTAATGCCTCTTCATCTATAAGAATATTTTTAGACAAGGCAATCTCACTGCACTTTAACCAAGAAGGACCATTCCACCACAATTGATGAGATAATAATTCTGCAGGAAATAACCCACGTGAAGCAGCACAATCAGCTGGATTTTCTTTTCCATCAACATGACTCCAGTTCTCATGTGGTAAGATGGATTGTATTTCAGAAACTCTATTGGATACGAATACTTGCCATTTTTTAGGATCTGACCTTAGCCATGACATGACAACACGATTTGTGAATCACTCCAAGCTTGCACTAAATCAAAATTTATGACTAATGCAGCTTTTACAGACTGAATCAAGCGTGCCAATAACACTGCTGCACATAATTCCAGTCTTGGAATCGTAATAGATTTTAATGGTGCTACACGAGTTGTTTTAGCTGTTACAAGTTTAACATTAATGTCAGAGTTATTGCAAGTTTTGATATAAATAACTGCTGCATAACCCCTTCAGACGCATCACAAAATCCGTGAAGTTCACATCGAAAATAATCAGGTAGCAGAATTTTCCTAGGTATATTTATAGAATTCAAAGTTTAACTTCTCTACATAGATTTCTCCAATTTCGATCAATCTCTTCTGTTACAGGATCATCCCATGATAATTGTAATTTCCACAATTGCTGAAGGATCATTTAGCGAGAATTACAAACGGAGCTATCCACCCCAATGGATCGAATAGTTTTGCTACGAATGACAAAATAATCCTTTTAGTCGGAACACTTTGATACTCTATTACACCGACATTACATTTGAATTCATCATTGTCCGGATGCCATTCCAATCCCAGAACTTTCAATGTTTTGTCTTCTATTACACGATGAATATTGTCACTATCTGTGTTTGTTAAGCCAGAGGTTTTTAACAAGTGACGGTTCACTTGTCGACCATTTGTGAAGCTCAAAGCCACCCCTTTTTAGCAAATGTTGCAATTCGTCTATCAATGCAATACCTTCTGAACTATCTTCTACACCAGTTAACATATCATCAGCATAATAATCTCTTAAAACTGTATTCTTTGCCTTTCGAAAGTTCAATCCTTCATCAATCTAACTGACTCAAAACTTTGGTTGCAAGATATGGAGCAGCTGCAGTTCCATATGTAACTGTTTTCAAATGACAAACTTGTATTTTTTATATGGGCTATCTCTCAATAATATTCTCTGAAAATCTCTATCTTTTTCATGAACCTTTATCTGTCTGTACATCATTTTAATATCAGCAGTTATTGCAATGTTATGAAGTCTAAATCTTAGTAAAATACAAATTAAATCATCTTGTATTTTTGGGCCTATCATTAGTGTATCATTTAAAGAAACACCTGTGGTTGTTTTAGCGCTCGCATCGAAAAACAACTCTCAATTTTGTTGTTAAGCTAGAGTCCTTCAACACGAAGTGATGTGGGATATAATAGTGTTTATTCTCTAATTCATAATCTGTGTCTGGCACTAATTCTACGTGTTCTAGTGAAAAGTACTCTTTCATAATACTGAATATACTGGTTGTAAATTTCTTTCATAGATAACAGCCTCTTCTCCAAGTATTGAAATCTTCTGTACGCCATTTCAAGGGAGTCACCTAGAATATCTCTATTATGTTTGAATGGTAATGCAACTGAATAATGACCTGATATGTCTCTAAAATGCGAGTTTTTAAAATGTTCTTCACAAACTTTTTCTTCATTTGCTAAAGTTTGTACATTTTGAAACTTTTCTAACTCAAAAAAAGAATTTACTAACTCATCTGTGTTTGTATTCAAATGATTTACATATACTGGCTCAAAATTTGTAGCACCCGAAATATCCATCCCAACCGAATTTAGAGCAAATGGTAGATCAGGACCACGTTTGACAATTCTCCCGTCATTAAATGCAGAAATACATTTTACTCCAAATAAAATGTCAACTGGTTGTGACTTGTAAAATAATGGATCAGCTAATTGTAAATCACTGAAGTTATCGAAGATGATTGATGGCAAAGATACATAGGGAATGTTATCTGTCACCTTGTCCATACAAACGCTGATGTTGATACAGGAATATCACTTTTAAAATGAGAAGTGAATACTAAATCGACTTCCCCATTACTTTATAGTATTAAATTCTCCTAGACATGATACAGAAATGGAATTATCTTTCACTCGTAATCCTAATTTCTTCACACAATCCCTTGAAATAAATGATCTTTGAGATCCAGTGTCACATAAACATCTACACTTCACAAATTGTTGTTCAGAATTTTGAACTTTTATTAAAGCAGTACACAATAAAATGTGACTGGTTTGATTACTTTTTGCATTCGAATCATAATGAGAGGCACAAACTGTGGCTGAAACATCCTTAGGACTCGTTCATCTCTTTTAGGGATAGATTGCGTAGGCGGAGATATACTGTTAACTGAGTTTTATTCTTTGAATTATTTACAATGTGCAAAATACTGTGATGCTTCTTAAAGCAATGTTGACATGTATTTAAACACTTGCATTTTTTGAGCAAGTGCATATTAGATAAACAATTAAAACAATAATGATTAGATTTTACTAATTCTATTCTTTGCTGAACCGATAAATTTAGAAATTTCGAACATTTGGCTAAACTACGATCTTCTTTACAATAACCACAACCCAAAGTAGCAACCAGAACATTATTCTTATTTTGAAACACAGATTTAGGTACCTTATTATTATTTATGATTTAGGTGTTCTTGCATAGTTTTTTAGGAAATTCAATTAAAGTCATAAGTTTTGGAACCTCATTACATTTTAACTGATGTTCCCACCATAATTTTGTAGAAGGGTCTAATTTTTTCAAAATTAAATAAGTCATTAAAGTGTCACCAAATTTATCAATGGTTAGATTCAATACTTCTAAAGAACGAATT